ATCTGGTCATTTAGTAAGTAGCAGCTAAGCTAGGGGAGCGGAGATTATGTGGTGATGTCACATATGTGACGTGCCAATTTCTGTTGTGTAGTCATGCTAATTACAAACTTTAACAAGCTGATAAATCTCAAAGTACGTGACTGATGTGGTCAAAACACCCATCATGACTTTTCATTTAAATTGCAGTACAACAGATGTGCGATCCAGGGCGTAAGGCAAAGCGGACTAGAAAATAGCATTTTTAGCCCCGTTGACTTGCATTCATTTTTTTCGTTCTCCCAGGGACCCATGAGCCGATCGGAAAGAGAGGAGACTTAGGCTCCCTATATCTCCATCACACAAGAGATTAGGCCAAGTTCAGTCCATAGCTACCATGTTTAAGTAAAGCAAGTACCCTGCCGGGCTGCCACTGTTGATGAGAGTTTACAAAGGTTTTACAAAATCCTCTTAGGTATACGTCCCTAAGAGGATGCTTGTTTTGTTCCTCAAATGGCCTGGAAAGCAGTCCTTTAGTGCCGGCCAGGTAAAATGGAGAAAATACAGTGAAGGTCCAGTAAAACAATCCGGAAGTTCCGATAGTGAAAACTAGCCAAATGTTCCTTTATTTATTTTGAGTTCATACATAAAAGTTACCCCCAGGTACCAATTCAAGGTGATTCCGACTCACAATTTGCAAAAGTTTCAGGCAATTTTGTGCCTTAAAGTTATTGTTCAATTGCCACCCAGTTAAATGTAATCCTAATTTTTTCATTTTTTAAAAACTCAATGAGTAAATGTAGTAAGTGTATTTTTGTGGTCAACTTCTATGTCCCACTACTAAACAGCCGATTGCTGGGAATGAATGAAGAGCGACTTGTTATGTGTTTTTGTCTTCAGACAAGTCATCAAAGTGGTTTACCTCATCTCTGAGTCCATCTCCACCACATCCAACAGCGTGAATAGCTGAAGGACAACAATAATTCAGTTTGAATGATGGGGAAGATGACTTCGACTAAGTGATTCCTCATGTTTGCTGGGGATTAAAGTTTTTCCTGTTATGAATTACGCAACTCTTGTCTTTTTTAACAATACAGACTTTAAACTGTCTGGTGATGACCTTGGATACTTCATGCAAACATTAGAAAATTTCAGTTCATTTGCTGGTGATGCTCAAAACTAACTATAAAAAACAAATAAGCCCTAGACGCACATGTTTCCAATTAGGTGAACAAATTGTTTTTCTCCACTTGGGGAAGTGACACATGCTAAAGCCCAATCAGTCTGCTGCAGTCTCATTATCAAACAGGCGAGGTTCATGAACACATCTCACCATCAGACCCATTTATTTCCTTCAATATTTTTGCCAACAGCCCATCAGAAGGGGAGGACACTTCAACATGAGCCAGCGTGTGGTGATGACAGTTCGCTGCGCTGGCCAAATTGGAGAAGCTGCCTCAGCAAAAGAAATGCGGGTTGGAATAATCCGTGGTCAGGAATGACAAAGTCCCTGCAGCTAAACATGAGCTGAAAAAATATGGCATCACTTTGTATTAAACAGGGAGAACCAGGTGAATGCATGTGTTAGAAACCGTGTTATTAGCCAAACAAACAGGATGGTTGCTAGTTTGGGGCCTCGTGGTGCTTTACCTGTGTATTTGAACAGCAACATGTTCTTATATGTAAGAATGATGTAGGAATGATATATTTGGGTCAAATTCAGTTACTGCAGCCCATTTTAATAAACAAAAGGTGACTTTCTCACTACTGTGATTTTCGTGGTTGTTGCCAGTTCTAGATTTGCACAAGAAGATTCTAAATGGTGAGTTAAGACGAGTCATACACAGTAAGTTGATCAATACATTGTCATATCTGGTGATAGCACTCTTGGGTGATTAATGTTATGGAGCACTTACTACACGTATTACAGTAGTATGCCTCCAGCATTGGAGGAGTTTGCCGTCTTGCTGTTAAAGGGGCATTATGGAAGTTTGACCGCCAAAACATGTATAGAAATAATACATTTCTTCTTAATACATTCTCCTGCAATGCCCAGGCCCTGTAGAACGAGCCCTGGCATTTTTATTGTGATTGCCTATTTTTCTGTAAAATCGCAGAAAAAGAGAGCTGCTCGGGTCGAGCAGGCTGCTTCATGAGCGTTCACGCTCAGGCATAGCCCTCCGAATCGTTCTTTGAACGTTGTTTCAGCTGTTATCAAGAATATAAAAGTTACAGATGCCAAAGATACCTCTGGTGATTTAGCTTGCCTAGTAAACTTTTGGGCTTTCATGCTGAAGACCCGGGTTCGATTCTCGACGTGAAAGTGGTTGTTTCAGAATTTAGTTTTTACATTAATGATATACTTTTTTTACAGTAAGATGCCCAAATTTTTATTTGAGCCTCGCCGAACGGCATTGAATTCACAGATAAAAAAAGATGTGGGTTCAACTTTCATTTTGGAACAATTTTTCAAGTAAGGGAAGGGAATGATCTGAGCATGCAGGAGAACTGACCCATCATAAACCTTTGCTGAAGAGAAAAGTACAGAACCAAACTATTTAATTAATTAGCTGCGTGTTCTCCTGTCCTCTGACCTCTGACGGAGGTCAGCTTCACAGAGCTTCGTCTCAGCTGTTATTTTCGTTAAGGAGTGTGCACGTACAGCATGCGTGCCTCGTGTACGAGCCTCCTATTGAAGCTGCCGTTACGCTTTTGGCCAGAGGGGGCAATCGCGAGCATAAAAATTCAAAACTCCCTAAAGTCCCTTTAAGTTCTGAATGACTCATTAAAGGAAGTAAACCCCTGCGGCTGACTCATTAGTCACTTCACACATACATTTCACTGTCATATTGAGTTGCTGGTTCTTGAAGAAGTAGATTGAGATATTTTTAGAGTTGACTATTTGCTTCTAATTAACTGTTAGCATTATTAGCTCAGTGTTAGCTCAACGTTACCTATCTTATCTTTACTCAATATTAGAGAAAACAAAAACATACCGTTGCTTCTTACCCTCAAATTCCACTACCTCCGCTCCGCTGCGCTCCGCTCCGACACGAACGCCGGAGCAAAATCGGTCCCGTTCTAGTCAATCAGAGCAATTCCACTACTGCGGCCATGCTCCGGCAGTGCGGCGCCGTGCGCCGCCCTCTGTTCCGGCGTCCGACAAAAATAGAATCGATCCTATTTTCGCCGGACGCCGGAGCACCTCCGCAGTAAATGGACAGAAATCACAACCGTCCAACAGGAAAAGGAGCGGGCACAACTTCCGTTTTTCACAATAAATCGATAAACAAAAGGCGTTTTTTGTTTCATATGCACAAGTTTAACAACTTTTAACAACTATCAGTGGCGGCTGAAGTTTAAATGCACAAAAGTAAGCCATAAATACAGTTTCCACTATCAAAGTAGTCACACTTTGGTGATCCAAACACTGCTGATCTCTCAACACAAATGATGGGCAGATTAAACAGTTCATGTCGATGCTTCTCCCACACAACGGGTGTTTGGATCTAACTTCCGCGTTTATTGCTCGGACTGTATCGCAAGATCTCGAAAATCCCGCGCATGCTTATTTGCTCACCTCAGGTCTCCGCATCGGAGCGGAGCCGTTGTAGAGCGGGTAGCAGTAAAAATTGAGTTCGGAAGCGAGCGGCTGCGGAGGGCGGGGGTGGACCGGAGCGGAGCGGAGCGGAGGTAGTGGAATTTGGGGGTTAGGGGTACAAGAAATAACTTCTAGGTTGCTCTCAGTAGCTGGCTTTGGTTCTTTAAACAACTCTGGAGCTTTTACAAATGATGCTAATGCTGCAGTGTTAGCTTGGCGCAGACTCGGCAACCACACAGGCTCACAGATTGTAAATAGTAGCTATGTCCCTCTTTAGTTTTTTGAAAAAAGACAAACTGATAACACCTCTGTTTCAATAGCCGTTTTTCAAAATAACACTCCAGTTTGCCGTCTAGCTGATACTGTTCAGAAAGCAAAACTTACAGTTTGGGTTTACTTCCACTATCAATACAGTTGCCGGCTGGAACTCGGCAGTAACTCCCCACGTCATCATGACACCTCCCTCTTTAGCACCAAGGTGCAATAGCTGTTTATAAGACAAACAGTTTCTGCAATATTACTACCAAGCAACGCAGAAAGAATGCAGCAAAATACGCGCATCGCCATGCCGCGTCTATAAGACACACCATTGCAGTAATATTACGCAGATTTGCCAGCGAGGTGTTTCTTGCAAAAAGGGCTAATGTAAATTTCCTTCCACATGATTGAGACAGTAGACCGTTTTGCGATAATTTTACTGTAGAATTCTTACATGTTGTACCTGTAATGGCAATTTTTTAGATGATTTAAAATGTAAACACTTGTTTAGAAAGGCAGATATTTCCTCTTAAAATCCATTCCAACATATTTATTAGCTTATCCTTTATTCTATAATTCACACACCAAACCCCACAGAATGGAACTGAGCTCCTGATATTTTCCTTGGATCACGTGTGTGGGGTTTTGTTCATCATGGTGTGGTGAAGCCTTTAAAAGGAGGAAGACAAACACCTGGACTGTGATGATTGAGAAAAGGTGAAGGCTTTTCAGGCTTTGATTGACAAGGTAAATTATAGTGAAATGTGAAGTCGTTTCTAGTAAAAGAGCTCTTTGTGCTGAGCATGACTCAGCTTTTTGCGTAAGCCAAGTTGTGCAGCGTCATGTTACAGATAGTGGTTTCCTGTTACACACATGCGGCTGGATCAGAATCAATATTCCATACATTATCATGCAAATATTTTTCCTAATTATTGTGTGAAAATCAGCAGTTACACAAGCACACACACACACACCCTTATTTAACACCTACTGTTTGGCAAGATGACACCTCTGTCTTTGTCCTCCTCTTGAACAGTAAACAGGCAGAGCAACAGCGGCAAGAAAATATACTCACCTGGCAGGTGGGAGGAGCTAATCAGTTCCGTATGCTCAGGTGTGCTGTCATTTCTATCTTAATGTTCTAACAGATTCATCTTCCACTCACCTTTTGGTTTTGTTGGTGGGCATCAGATCATGTCCTGTTCTCACACGAGACTGAACTCAGGATTAGGACAAAGGTGTACAGCAAGGGGGAGGAGCTAAAGATGAGGAAACTCCTCAAAAAATGATGACTCCATCCTACACTCATACTGACCCATTACCTTTATTTAGTTCTTACATGATGTTTTCCACGTAGAACAGAATAATTGCAGCATGTTCTGTCATGTAGGTGCTGATAAGAGGGCTAGTTCAGGAGGAAAGTTTCTGAATTCTGTGTTGAAACAAGCAAGTTAGAGAACAGGAAATATAAATTTCTATGACCTACAGCTTAAATATTAGCTACACCTAAATAAAAGTCATTGTTCAATCAAAAGACAACGTTACATAGAGCACCCTGCTAGCTGCACATTGTTTAAAACTGCCCTGAGACCAGAACTCCTTCAGATTTGGACACATCATGGCTCCACTAGATGATTGCAAAGTCATCATTGCGTAACAGGAAACAGCCAAATTCAGCTGAAACAAAGGCAACGATGTTGACATGGCAGATTTTCTTTTTTTTTAGTTTAGTTTACTTCAAACAAAGAAAACATACATATTTTTTTTAAATACCACAAACAGAAAAAATACATATCATCATCCCTTTTTTAATTCTTCTCTGTTTGAAAAGGAGTAGGCTGAAGTGGAAACTTACATGTCCCTACCCTTTTATACAAGTAATTTTTACTTGTTTACTAAATCTAACACAAAACCTACATTAAAACAAACAAAATGGTACAAGTCACCAAAAACCACCAAACCATATGGAAAAAAAAAAATAACACATCTTTTTACAATTGATACAATTTACTTTTCCTTAGAATAAAGGACACCCACATAAATCATCTATTTTCCACTATATACTTGTTCAGAATATGTTTTTATAATTCATTTTAAACACATTTATATTTGTACTTACTTTGATTTCTTCTTCTAAATTGTTCCATAATTTAACCCCTATTATTGTGATACACATCTGTTTTAATGTTGTTCTAAACTTATGTATCTTTAAGTTTAGTGTCCCTCTCAGGTTATATCCTCCTTCTCTCTCTGTGAACAGTTTCTGTATTTTATCAGGCATTAATTTATTTCTTACTTTATACATTATTTGTGCTGTTTTGTATTTAACCAAGTCCTGGAACATCATTGTCCGCGTTTTAATAAAAAGTTCATTTGTGTGATCCAAATATCCTGCATTTGTTATTAATCTGATAGCCCTTTTCTGCATTGTCGTTATTGTTTGTAAATGACTTTTGTACGTGTTTCCCCAGACCTCTACACAATAGCTCAAATATGGCAGTAGCATCGTATTGTATAACATATAAAGTGCTTTCTGATTAAAAATATACTTAGCTTTCCCCAATATAGCAATGCCCCGTGCAAGCTTCCCCCTAACATATTTGATGTGTGGCTTCCAACAGATCCTGCTGTCTATGACCACCCCAAGAAATTTTATTTCATATACTCTCTCAATTTTTACATTATTAATTACTATATCTAATTCATTGTATCTTCTTTCATTACCAAACAACATAAATTTTGTTTTCTCTAAATTTAGTGACAGTTTATTTACATCAAAACATTTTTTAAATTTATTTATTTCCTGTGTGACCACATCCAGGACCTGTTGCAATTCCACACCCGAGCAAAAAACATTTGTGTCATCTGCAAACAATACAAACTTCAAAACTTGTGAAACCCTCCAAATGTCATTTATGTACATTATGAATAGTTTAGGTCCTAAGACTGATCCTTGAGGTACCCCACATTGTATCTCTCTTAGTCCTGATTTATGTTGATTTATTTGCACATATTGTTGTCTATTTGATAAATAACTTTTTATCCAGTCCAATACTATACCCCTGAAACCACATTTTCCCATTTTTTCTCATCAATACATCATGGTTTACTGTATCGAAAGCTTTCTTCAGATCTAAAAACAACCCTATTGCATGCTTCTTTTTGTCAGTGCATTCTGTTATTTCCTCATTAAGATCAATCAGTGCCTGGACTGTTGACCTATTATTCCTGAAGCCATACTGGCTTTCCGTCAGCAACTCACATTGATCAACGAAATTATCGAATCTTTTAACAAACAGCTTTTCTAATATTTTGGAAAATTGTGATAGTATTGACACAGGTTTATAATTTGTAAATTGATGCTTATCTCCTGTCTTGTAAATAGGAATAACCCTTGCTACTTTCATGTTATTCGGAAAAAAACCCTTTTGAAAAGAAAGATTATCCTGTCTAGTTTAATAGTTGAAGATAGGAGGTCCTGAAAGTCAGACAGAAAGGATGAAGTAGATCCAGGTGGGCGATAGACCAGAATTCCATAAACTGGTAGAGCTCGACCAATTTTAATCATGATCATCTCGAATGAGCTGTAGGAGTTTGAGGATATAATTTGGCACGAAAAGTGTTTCTTAAAGATAACAGCTGTTCCTCCACCGCGGCCTGTGTTCCGTGGAGCAGAGAAGAAAGAGCAGTCTTGAGGACAGAGCTCACGGAGATGAGTGACGTCATTTTCGCGCTGCCACGACTCAGAAATCCACAAAAAGTTAAATTTTTCGGTGCAGAACAGATCGTTTAGGATGTGAGACTTGTTGGCGATGGAGCGCGCGTTAATTAACGTAATTTTCGCAGAGAAATCTGGCGATGTGTGTACCGCGGGCTCCATAATGGCGGTCGGCTGGCGGGCTAAGCTAAGTAGCGACTCCAGGCTACGCCTGCGGGGGTTCTTTACCTTTAGGTAGCATCCTGCATCAGGGGCACCATTTAGCAGCGAGATCAGCCCAACTCCTTTGAGTTTCTGTTGAATCTGCCACAACACAGCCGCGGAGCAGCGATCGGGAAGAGCTTTGCCTCTCAGGATCTTTTGGAGCTGAACGAAGAAGCCAGCTCTCTTCCCCCGTTTCCTCTTCCATGGTCTCCGGGGCAGTGGCAGGCCCACAAGTAACAAAGGGCCAACACCTGGTTAACGCCAGGTTCCAGAGGTGGTGGGAAAGCGGGTCCGGTATCGGAGTTCTGGAGGTTGATCATCGCGGACCTGATCGACAATAGTAAGTCTCGATCATATGTTAGCAGGGAATCCGCACCAGATAGAGAAAAAATAATAAAAAACAACAAATAACCAAAACAGATCAGGAGCCTAGCAGACGCACAGCCACTCATGGGCGCCATCTTCCATGTATAGCATTGAAAGTTATAGTCAGGATTCTAAAATGAACTCTAAAGTTAACGGGTAACCAGTGCAGAGACATCAGAATAGGAGTGATTTGTGCTCTTCTGTTGCTCCAGTTAGGAGCCTCGCTGCAGAGTTATGGACCAACTTAAGGCGGTCAAGGGCGTTTTTGGTAAAACATGTGAAGAGTATGTTATATTAATCTAGACGGAAGGAGATAAAGGCATGGATGACCATTTCAAGTCCATGTTTTGAAACCAACCTTCACAGTTTGGAGATATTTCTTAACTCATTCACTGCCATTGACGAAAAAAGTCGTCATTTGCATTTTCTTTACTGTGTGGGCGTCGGAACGAGCCCCCGCACTGTGAGAACAAACATTTCCGCTCTAAAGCCGATCTTCATCCGCATACGTCACATGTCACATGATCAGGAAGCAGAAAATCCATGTGTTAGGAGATCGTTTTGGGCCACTGCTGTAAAAAAAGTGAGGCGCGAACCGGAAAAGCTTCTGCCGATCACAATTCAACAACGGATTATGAAAGAACGGATAACGCTCGAAACGCGCTGATTCTTCCTGATGTAAGAGGTGAGTCTCCGCTTTGTTTTGGCGTCGACATCATCCTAGCGCGCAACGTTCTGTGACTCTTAAAAAAACAGCAAAAACGGCAAGAAACACTGGCTGCGAATGGCCTTACCGGTCAGGAAATGGCTGGCAGCGAATAAGTTAAGTGATAAAAACAGTTTCAGACCAATGTTTTTGTGTGGACTTCAAGAGACATTGATTGGTCAAAAACACCCAAATTCCTTAAGTTTGTCTTAAGTATTTCAGTTCCTTTCACCTCAAACATTGTACCTCCCATCTACCATCCACACAAATGCAGAAAAAAACAAAATCAGGTTTCATATCATGATGTGATACAATAAAATGTTACTATAGGATGCAATTCAAATATGATACATTTGATACAATACAATACATTACAATGCAATGCAATACAATATGGTAAAAATTGGTGTGATTTGATAGGATACAACATAGCAAAATATTACAGTTTTGATACAATATGATACAACTCTAATATTCTTCATGTTCCTCTTTGCCAATTTGTTTTTGGTCTATCCCAATAACTGCTTCCACACAACATTTTTAAATTAAATAACTAATGATCCTGTACCTGCCACTGGGACAACAGATGGAAGTCGGAGGTCATCTGGTACATTGTGTCTTCGCTCTCTCAGCATTAACTATTTGTATATGGTCCCAGACAAATAAACAAATATAGATAAGAAGCAATGGCAGCACTAGCAAGAACAAACTCATTGTCTGTGCTGTATACATCCCTGTAAAAAACTTCACAATCAACTAGAAAAAGGACAACCAGCTGCTATCACAAACCAACTTGAGATCCATTTCTGAAAAGTGTTGTTCACTATCATTTGCTTTTAAACTGATGTCAGATTACTCCTGAGTCTAAACCTTTGGTAACAACTTAGCTTGGTTTTAGGCGTCAGCCCTGCTGTAGGCGGGTGGACAAGCTAGCATCAGCCATACATCATAATAATGTGTTGTTGTCTGGCACTCAGCCTGTCATTTCAGGACGGCCAAGATAAAAACATGATAAACTCTCCTCTGCAGCACGTCAGTGGGTAATAGCTCATAATTCAGGAGATGGAGGTGTGTGAGAGCTGAATAGAAGGATTTAGTGGAAGTTACACGCAACACTCCACACAAAGGCACCCATATTAGCCTGCGTGGTTAGCTCTCTGTTATTTACTGGCCTGTCATCTCACCCTACTTGACATTTTAATGTCAGCATGTAAATACATGTTGGTTATGCAAGTGTGTCTG